ACCTGCATGCATGAGTCCCCGAGGGGCGCAGAGTGATGATGATGATGATAGAGCATGAACTGATGAATAACACTAATAATACAGCTACAAGATGTAGTAGCCATTGTTTCTACATGATAATATTGTAGTTCTGCCTGAATTGTGGAAGCTTTCTCAGTTTTTTTATAAACATCCTAGGATTTGACTCCTTTTTTTTATAACGTCTTTATTCCGATCAATATTGGGTAGATCTAGATCTAGAAAAATCTAGATTAGATCGAACAATTGTTTCTGACATTGTTTGCACAAAAGTAGACGTCTTGTTCATCTCTCATAATCATAATCATCTGAGTTAGAGTTTGAGCAAGTTTAAGTTGAAAGACGCTTGGATAACAATAACAAGATGGTGCAACTCGAACTTTAAGTTAGGCCTAGAGAACGTATACTAGCTGTCTACTGTCTACGTTCTCTAAGTCTAATGTTCAGTGCTTCCAAGCGCGGCATCGAATCCCGGTCCCAGAAGGGTTTTTTTTTTCCTTCTCCTGAGCCTAAAATTTTTAAAAAAGAAAAAAGATTAGACTCACAGACCAAGGAAAGCCACTACTGAACTTTAACCAGGCCTAAATTGGTAAAAGGAAAAGTATAGGCTATACTAAGGTCTACTTTGTAGGCTACAGAGCTCCTCTTGGGGACAAAACCCGAACGTGCATGCTTCATCACTACATAAAAAAACTACAAAGCAAAAAGAAATAATTATGGGAACAGTTTGTTGGTCCAAGAAGAGGACAACAACAACAAAAAAACCCAAAGAAAATAAAAACGTCCAGGACCGGGATCGAACCCACGTTAAAAAAATAATGGTTTGACTTTGAGCGCAGACGCGCTGTCACTTCGACCATCAGAACTTCCAACAATGGAGCGCAGATTATGCTTCATATTTTACACACGGCGACACGGCGTTTTATTTTGCACTGGCGCTAATCGCAACGCGGCGTTGCAAATAGGCACTTCAGAAATTTATTGTATGATAGCTAGATCGTCCAGTTTTTGTACAATTTATCGTTACGTGTAACCGGGCCTACAGCTAGCCGTTTAATGACGGCTAGTATACGGCTGGGCTGGCCATACTTAAATGATGGCTAGACTGACAAACAGCAAAAAATAACATGCGACTACACGCAGGGCGTAAACCAGGCTACTATTGGCTGATCCTGTGGGAAGAGGAGAAGAAATGAAGAAGAAGAAGAATGAGGAGGAGGGAGGAGAAGAAGAAGACCAAGCAGGGGGACGAGGAGGAGGAGCACGAGGTAGGAGAAGAAGAAGAAGCAGGGGGACGAGGAGAGGAGCAGGAGGAATTAGAGGAGGAGGAGAACAAGAAGAAGAAGAACCTTGAATCTAGAGTCTAGACGTAATACACATGTTACATATTGGAGGCTTTTTTGTTTGTTACCCAGCCTTGGGAAAGAGGGAGAGAGAGAGAGGGGGTGGTGAGAGTGACAGGGAGGGTGTCATGTCGTATGTATTCATGGGTCACAGGTTCAGCCAATCGTCGTCGGGTTTATGCACTGCGTGTAGTCGCATGTCAAAAAATAGGCCTACTGAATTGTAAATAAATTTTTTGTTTGCAATACTTAGTCTAGATTCTAGATCTAGGATTATTTGTATTTGAGACGAAACCAAAAGGTGCCTTTGACAGCGCATGAATTTTTAATTTGAAACCTGAATAATTCTAGAGATCTAAATCTAGATCTAGATCTACGATAAAATCAAACTGGTGCTCTGTTTAATCATGTAAGATCTTTGCATACAGGTTTAAAAGGTGGCTCTTCAACACCTAAATTTATTAATGAAGGTCGCTCCAAGGATCCGACACATTTTAAAAAAAATGTTAGCCTGCCTAAAGCCAGCAGATTAAAACTCTTTAACCATGCCTGGACGGGGGCAGTGTCCGGTAGTCGAGGTCCGTAACAATAGCTGGACGATACCACAGTCAGATGTGAAGTTTTTATTGTATTATGGTTCGGGCCGAATATAAAAATATATGAGCTAACAAGAGTTTAGTTTGACACGGAAGTCAAAGATAAATGAATTCTACCTCTGGGTAACTCTTTATCGATCAGCTTGTCGTGAAACAAGCGTTTTTAAAAACGTGGTATATTTAGTCGCATTTCCACAAACACGAGAAAATTACGCGGAAACGTGATTTAAATTGCATGGTTAAAGAGTTTTTAAAAAGAGGGAATTTGCAGTGTACACCTAGAATCTAAATCCTAAATCATGTAAATGACCTATTTTTATAGATCTGCCTAAGAAACACAGTCCAACAAATGGATACAGTCATGGGTAAAATCTACAAGCTTAACTAACACTCATCATAGAGCAAGGGCAGGGTATGTAGGCGCCAGTGTTTCAGGCGTGGAAAATCGGCAAAGACGACAGTAGCGTCACAGTCATTTCCACCCACTCCCCGCGGCTACTGAACAATGAAATGCTAGCCTAGACATCTAGGTCTACGTAATGAGCATTCCGGTCTGTGGGATACATGTACGTTGCCGTGTATGCTAGACCCTATGTTGTAACACAACTTGTGGCTCACATTGCTATACCGGGTAACAAATGCTCAGATTCAAGAAAATTGAAGGTCAGGCCCGACGACTTCATTAAATCTCAGCACCACTGTACTCATGTAGACAAATGGACAAAAAATGTTATTACTTGATCAAGATTTTTGTTATCACATATTTGTGTTTATTTACTGGCCTGCAGAAGTGCCATGCAAAGCTTCAAGTGACAAAAGTGAACATTGTTCCAGACTTCAGTGTGTCGAACAAAATAACCAGACAAGTTACAGTGCCGTTTGGTTTTTTTAGTCTCAAGAGCAGAAATGTGTGCTTTGAATATCAAATGAGGGCTCCCACTCACCCAGGAAAATGAGAAAAGGCCAGGAATTTCATTTTCAGATTTCCTGGTCGGGAAAACACCATGGAAGTGAATGAAAACGAAAATATACGGGAGAAAGCTGGGAAATCAAAGGGCTGCCCATAATTACAAATTTGGCGGAATCGTTAAGGCTTTTCAATTTGTTTTCTTCAATTTTACAAAAAATATAATTGTAACACCCCACCCCTAATTCCAATCTTTTAAAAAATAATTTGCTGTTGGGCTTCCCCACCATCCCCAGCTAGTTGGCGTAGAAGTTAGAAAACGTCAATTTCCGACAGTCTATGTCACCAGGTCCCGTGCAGCTGTCGTAACTTTCACTCACTGACTACGGTTCCCGTCACAGGCACGGGACGGTTTGTAGGTACGGATCCCGTACCCCCGACGGGATGGACTTTGCGGTTTTGTTCTGAAACTTGTACGGAAACAGACTCCAGTGCTAGTTTTGCCACTTTTTTAGTTTCGTGTCGAGTTTGGCGGAAGTTGCGTGGTAATTTTTTAAGTAATTGAAGGTGAAGGACTGTCGCTCCAACTGGGGTTGAACTCGCACTATGTTTTTTCTATTAAGTTGATAGTGATAGTAACTTGATAGTCGTGCACGGCGAAGTAACGGTCGAAGAAGTCGCATGAACAAGAATCACATAATTTCGCTGTTTTCGATACTTCTGTTTGTTTTACTAGTTCTAGTGACTCAGAAAATGATGTATCTGATAGTTAGGACCCTTGATATGTACCGGAACATGGCCCGAGTCGTAGTTTTAGGGCTAGATCTAGCACTAATACTGGTCTGTTGTTCGCGCTATGAAATCACAACTTGGTGCCGTACATCTGTCTATGTAATTCATTGTATGGGTCTGAATCAACACACAGCCCAGCTTTTATATTTTCACCAAACACTCACACATGGATACAAATGAAAATAGAACACTTTGAACTTTTTATTTTATGTTGTTGTGAATTTCATTTTATCTGTCACGTCTCTGGAAATTTTTCAGAAAATCAAATTCATGCCAATTTTTTTAAATCATAAAATAAAATTTGAGTTGCTCCACCATTTGTTCACACCTGCTCTCCCCCCCCGGTGGGGGGGGGGGGGGGGGGGGGGGGGAATCGGTCTGAACTCGACTCACTAAATTTAGACATGCATTGTGCCCAAACTATTTAAGCTATCAATATAAAATTTCGCTCAGATTTTACTTAAAATGTTCTATTTTAATATTTTATTCAAAAGAAAGGTGAAGGAAAGAGCAGAGAAAACAATATTATATTCTTCGTCCGACTGCGACTCATCATCTGCTCTCATTTAGCCATAGCACATTTAGTCGTAGCAACTTAGAGTAAATCTATGGTCTACATCTAGCTTTTTTCTTCCAAGTTTTCAAGGCACAGTTAACATATCAACTGTGAGAGTGTCATATTTCGTCCAACGTCGCTTTTCAAAATGGCGTATGTCGGAGCCTTGCACAAAGCAGTCGATATGTTGACTGAAGTGTGTAGCTTTGTCAGTGTGTGTAAACTGATGCCCTGTGTGTAACGTTGTGAGTGTATATAAACTATATAAATCTGTGAGTGTGTAAACTGTGTATATCTGTGAGTGTGTGTAAACTATGTAGATCTGTGAGTGTGTGTAAACTAATACACTGTATGTAAATCTGTGAGTGTGTGTAAACTGTGTAAATCTGTAAGTGTGTAAACTGATACACTGTATGTAAATATGTGAGTTTGTGTAAACTATGTAAATCTGTGAGTGTGTGTAAACTATGTAAGTCCGTGAGTGTGTGTAAACTAAGTAAATCCGTGAGTGTGTGTAAACTATGTAAATCCGTGAGTGTGTGTAAACTATCTAAGTCCGTGAGTGTGTGTAAACTATGTAAATCTGTGAAAGTGTGTAAACTAGGTTTCATACTGTGAGAGTACCGGCGTGTGTCCTTAGAGCCCCACGTCTGTTTACGTCGACGGTAAAGTCGCAACAAATATGGAGAAGTTGCAGAGAATAACTGCGCCTATGTTTCTCTTCTTCACTAGATTTTTTTCTTCTAATACACTGCAAACAGGAAATTCCTCCAGATGCAACAGTCGACGCACATTGGGCGCACGCGCTCACCAGCATTTCGCAGCATGGTGCGAGGTGCCACGGGTGGAGGAGAGATCTGGTCGCACACCAACGAGGATTTGAAGGTCAGGCCGGTTAATTAATGCCACACGTTTCTGTCGATTCTGTCAATCCCCCCCGCCTATCCCTCCTCC